AAAAAAAAAAAAAAAAAAAAAAGAAAAGGCAGCCACATGGATGGCCTGCATGGACAGGCCCGAGGCTGCCTCATCAAGTCTGCTCGCACACCAGCATGCTGCTGAGGGCCTGCAAACCTGGAGAAGACCTAGAGTTGGGATAGAAAGACTACAGACATGGCTGCCACAGGCTACTAACCAGGGGCCAGGTGAATGATAAATGGTTGTCATGGATATTAGTGTGACTACATGATGACAACCAAACATATCTCCCAACCCCCACTCACTCCTGTCCCCAACTGACCCTATGGTTCTATATAAGCAACCTAGAACTCAGGAGGAGGGAGTCTTGAAGTGATTAAGGAAATCCTGATTGGAACAGTATTTTCCACCGTTCAGGAGAATGTGAGCTCAAGAGACAGATTAAATTGATGTGAAAAAAAAAATTCCAATAAAGACAGCAGAATAGTCATATTTTTTCTCCCTCCCCAAACTTCACCAAAACAATAATTAATGATTTTTTTTTAAAGCTATAACCCACAAGAAAAGGAAAAACAGGAGAAGAGACAAGAGCAATGACATTTTAGAAGGTAGAAAGCAAGAGACTGAGATTAATGACTTAGGAGAACTGAGCAAATGGAATCTCACAAGATCCACGGGAAAAGCCAAGAGCCAATCAGATTTAAATTCCTCTAAATGGTGAGGAATTTGCGGCACCATGTTCCCTTTGGGAGTGAGTGTAAAGGAGGTACTGAAGTAGAAAAGATTGAAAATATATTTAAAAGACGGTTAGAAACCCAGATCCTCTGCTTCATGCCATTCTCACCTCAAAGAAAAACTTGAGATTGACTCTCTGAAGAATAAACTACAGGGTCTCTGGACTAGGCGATACCAGTTGATGGTAGAACTACTAAATTGATCATACATTAAATAAACATGTGCACATATGTGCTGCAATCCATGACCTCTCTCCTTACTCAGCTCCCACAATAGTGGCAAGAGGGGCACCCACCTCTAGGTAGGATAGTGAAAAGACTATTCTGGGGAATCTGACCGCCGTGAGAAGCAGAGCAGTTGACACAGGTTTCCCGACTCAACTGGGCAACCAGATCACCTTTCATTCAAGTTCACAATCAGTAGGGCCTTTTGAGCTTTTTGGCTCCTTATCCTTAAATATAAATAGAAATTTGAAGCATCTGAGGAAAGGTCTGATACAAGAAAGACCAAAATGGCCACTTGGAGGAAAGAAACTTGGGGTTGGGGTAGATTCTACCATCAACATTCTCAAAGGGATGTGAAGGGATAATATCACAAACTTTAATTTTGAATGTGATGCTTTAAAAAACAAAGTATTTTGAAGCTCTTGGAAATGAAAAACGACATTTTTGAAAATCAATAGAAGGAATGGAAGGCAAACAAGGCAAATTCTCATTTTGAAAACAGAACAAAAACACAAGATGGGAAATAGTCAAGAAAAGGTAAAATTAGCAAACCAGTCCAGGATATTCATCATCTAAATAATACAAGGGGTAGAAAGAGATAACAGAGAAAATAGGAGAGAAATACAAAGACATAGCTCAAGAATATTTTCCAAAATGAAAGAACACTAGTTCCCAAAATAATGGCGGAAAACAGACCTCCTCTCAATACTGTGAAATGGTAGAACACTTGGGACAAAGAGAGGATCCTGTAAGTTTCCAGAAGAAAAAAAAAGTCACAAAAAAGGACTAAGAACCAGCATCTTCAGCTTCTCAACAGCAATGTGAGGAGCAATGAGACAACAAAACAATGTCTAAAAATTTTGAATGGAAGTTATTCTTAGCTTAGAAGTTTATGGCCAAATTATCCTCTAAGTACGAGGCTAGGATAAAGATTTTTCTCTGTCACAAACCTCAAA